AAGGCATAATTCCCAATTCTTCCCCTTTTTGTTTTTGAAGCTGGCGTTTCAGCGTTTGGTTCATACGTTCCACTATGGCCCTGCCCAGTAGGGGAGTGTGGAATGTCCGTAACGTGCACTATGCCCCAAAGATGGAAAAACTTTTGTGTCCCTCGTGCGACATAACCAGACCCATTATCAGTTTTTACCCTTTGGGGGACTCCCAATGCTGCCATAGCCACCCGCATGTGGCGTTGAACATATTTGCAGGATTCACCTGTCTGTGCTGTGGCCCAGACGGCCATAGAAAAACAGTCGACCTACACATGGGCATATTTTTGTCTGCCGAACTCCGGTATATGGGTAACGTCCATTTGCCACAGTTCCAACGGACCGGTACCTCTAGGATTCACCCCAGTTGGGCAGCCACCCATAAACTGCTGACAATCAGGGCAAGTTTGTATAATCCCTCGTGCCGCAGCATCTGTCAGGTTAAACTGTGGTCGTAGCGCCTTGGCAGACTGATGGAAAAACAGATGGGAACGCTGAGCCTGTTGAAACTTATCCGGTGTGGGGCCTGTCCATGCTGGAGCTACCAGCCGATCTGCCCGTTGGTTTCCCTCTGACAGATCGCCTGGCAAATTTGTGTGACTCCAAATACAGGTAATAAAAAATGGCACCTAGCGTTCATCGACTGATAGCCAGAGTGTTTTAAAGAGGGCAAACAGAGGTGCATCGCCAACTTCTTTCAGAACTGTGCGTTCCATGTGTTGAACAATACCTACTACATACAGGGAGTCACACACCACATTCAGGATCTGATCCGGCCAGCGCTGAAAGCCATGATGACAGCATGTAATTCTAGTTGTTGAGTGGAAACACAAAAGTCTGATAGCACTACCTCCTTCCAGATGTCTCCCTCTTTCCAGGTTAACGCTGACTTCTGTGATCTCCCTCCAGCGTCCATAAAAACAGTCACTCCCTTAACTGGTATTGGGGATCGCTGAGGAGGGCGCTCTTTGAACTGTCCAAGTTTGACTGCGGCCATAAAATGATGGGGTGGCAAATGGTCCCTAATCTGCCCTGGATAGTCTAAGAGGGCAACTTGAAGTGGCGCAGATACTGTCAAGCAGAGAGTCTGTCCCCACAAGCTGCTGCCTGAGTCCCCTCCCCACCACTGTCCCTCCACTTCTAATGTTACAGCACTGGAGACAGAAAGGAAGAGCCTACAGTGACATCTGGCTGCCATCACTACAGCAGAGCGTGTTGAGATGACAGCCTGATGGTGCTTGGGGCAGCTGAGCTCTTCTAATGGACATGGGGCCCATGATCTCACCCCATCTCTACTTGTCTGAGCCTAACCCTGTCCCCCTGAGCTCCCTTGGTGCCAGTTCTGGAAGAGACACTGCACAAGGAAATTCTCCTCATTGCACTAGGGGCATGTGAGGGAGCTCGAGTAGTGGGCTCTGAGGTCCCCTCTCTCTGCTGGAGAAGGGGGAAGCAGCCTGGCTTCCTGCTTCAACACAGGATGTGGGTCCAATTCAAAGGAGAGGTTCCAGAGGAGACATGCAATGAAGTGGATATACTTATTTATTTACTTATTATATTTGTCAGAGATGGATGTACAAGAAAAAAGTAACAAAGCAATAAATGCATAACACACACCTTTATGTCAGGTATTCTGGTGAGTGAATGAGTGTGGGTCAGTTATTGGCAATGACCTCGTATCCATTGAATCATCTTTTTCCAATGCATCCCTGAGCAATTTGTTCCTCATGCTGTAAATGAAGGGGTTCCCTGCTGGAGGCACCACTGTGTACAGAATGGCCAGCATGAGATCCAGAGCGGGGGAGGCGACAGACGGGGGCTTCAGGTAGACAAGCATGACAGTGCTGACAAACAGGGAGACCATGGCCAGGTGTGGGAGGCACATGGAAAAGGCTTTGTGCTGGCCCTGCTCTGACGGGATCCTCAGCACAGCAGCCAAGATCTGCATGTAGGACACCACAATGAATGTGCCTGCCGGCAGTGCCCTGACTCTTGCTGCTCCTTTAGGAGGAGCTGCTCATGGGCAGAGCTGTCTCTCTGCAGCGCCTGCCACATTGCTGTGGGCTCCCGCTGTTCCAGGAGCCAGGCCCAGATCAGGAACAGGCACCCAGATGAAGACGGGAAATCTTCTGTCCCTTGTGCATTAACAAGATGATCACAGGGCTCCAGGGCTGATGGTTCCTGAAAGGTACTGAAAGGTCACCCCTGCCACCCCTGGCAAATGTCCACTCACATCCACAAAATGGTCACCGATGGTCTCTCTGTCACTCATAGAGAAAGACTGAGACACTGCAGTTGGTCTCAGCAGAGGATGGTTATCTAAGAGACATGGACATGTCCTGCTCTTCAAGACCCTGCTCCTATCTCATAAGCAGATGGAACACACACACAGGTGCAAGAAGAGCACAAGTTCATTTCCTGATGCTTCAGGACCTCATTTGGAGGAGTACAGCAAGACACCTAATGCCAGCACATCCAACACTCCACAGTTTCAGAAGAGGATTCCGTTTGCTCAACTTTTGAGTCGAGAAAACAGCTATGTGCATGGGAGCTCCTTGTCCAAGCTCCCATCATAATCAGTGGAGATGGTGGCATGGAATCAGCTGTACACACACGCTGACCCCTGTGGACTTCAGAAGAAACAGTGGTCATCCAAGACTTGTGCTAGTGGCTGCTTGCTCTGAGGGAGCAACGAGGAGATCCATGTCCATGTAGTTCACAGCCAGGTGGAAAATCTTCTTGGCCATCTGACATCTCAGTGCCTATTACACGTTAAGAGCTCCACTTGCTCAGACTTCTGCAGAACCAGACATTGCAAAGACCTTGCATAATTCACTGCAGACAGTTGGTTTCATGAAATGACAACAGGCCTACTTGGCCATGTCAGATGCATGGGGTGTCCAGCACAAACACTATGTTTCTAGAACATTCAAGAGGGAAACGAGGAAAATCAGGCCCTTCAGAAGTGGTTGATGGGCAAACATCGTAGGACACCTCGGTTTTCGCACCTGCTCCCCAAAACTGATTCCCACCACTCACGCCAAGATCCCCTTGGAGAGGGATAACAACTCCCCTCTTATGGGTAGAGTAGCCATGCTACTGCTAATGCAGCCCCATAGGCATCTGGCCTTATTCACGTGAGCATGCACCACTGGCTCATATGGCCTCCCTTGCAACATGCAGGCCCTTCTTTTCAGGCCATTCCTCAGTTCCTCGTGTTCCACTGTGTCCTGATAGACAAGATTATATTCTTCCCCACATTGTGAGGCTGCCAGGAGATTTCCTTGGCAGTGGGAAGCAGCATGAAAAGATTAAATATCCTGAAAAATCTCCCACTTGGGAATTTCAGACTGGGCATTAAGATTATGAAATGTCACTGGAAGACCAATGTTGTAGTGCAACAGGCCACCCAGCCCGAGGCAAGGATCATCCCTTGCCTTTGTGTTACAAGGAACAGACAGTGAGGATGGAGACACATCAGTGAAGGGAAGGAGATCCCGTGTGAAAGCAAAGTGGGGAAGCAGGCTGGGCGTTTACAGGCTGCATGGACACAGCTGCAGGGATGAACCAGCATAGGACAGGCTCTGCTGGAGACAGCCAAAGTCTCTGCCAAAGCTCAAGGACCGCAAATGAGGTCGGCATCCTCTTGGCTATGGCTGTTGTCTCTGCCACCAAGGCCTACCAGGAGACACTGTGGCCTCCTTGTTATCCTTGCCAACACCCTGATAGGTGTCATATCATTGTCCTGCCCTGAGTACTGCACACCCCCACCCACACGCTGTCCCCTGGAGAACGTGGAAAACATGTGGGGGAAAGGATCTCCCTGCCCAGAGGCTCAGTGAGCGAGCTTGGACATTTTGCCTGATAAAATACATCAAGGGTTAACATGGCATCAGAGCCACCTGCACATTTCCTCTGCCTACATGTTATCAGTGATTATGATTTTCTGCTCTAATCAGCCCCTGGGGAGTCTTTGATGCTAACAACTCTCAGTGGGACCCATTAATGCTTTACAGAACTTTTGGAGATTCTGACTTTGAATTCTTGAATATTTTGTTCAGTCTCATCTCAGTAACTGAAGTTCATAGGCTCAGCACCTAACACACCATGGGACTCATTAAAAAGCAAAAAGTTCTGACCAACTATATCTCTCCCTGTAATTTTCTTCAAGTCTTGCATGGCTAATTGGAGACGTTTCAGGAATGTAGCTGAAAGGTGGAGACATAAATAACTACAAGTACTTCTGCTTTTAAAGGCTTTTATCATTATTATTATAATAATTTCAGAGCAAGGGACAGCAACATTCTCCAGCTGGTGTCAGTCTAGAGCGACTCCTAATGAAGTCTGGACATAGAGGAAAAGCGTGTCCCAGAGCTCAGGCAACGTATGGACACTCTTCCTCCCCCTTGCCCAATCCTTCCATTTCTCTCATCAGCCACAGGAGACTTCCCTCACTCTTGTTAGAAGCTTTCCTATTCCACTGAAGTCTGCAACTGAAGTTCGCAGTTCATCTGCCCCAGCTCGCACTGGCTTTCCTTAGAGAACTAGCTGCAAATAGGCACTGGATTTTTCTTAATTGCATAGAAAGAGACTTGCATAGAAAGAGAAACAGAGCAGGAATACTTTCATAAAGTGTAATTATTCTCTTTGGCTGTAGGCTAAGTCCAAGATGCTAACAATGAGGTCCCCTTGCTACAGGGGAGAGCCTTACTGGATAGCTTTTGGAGAGACAGGAAAGGCTAGATATAAGCAGAACATGGGGGACAGGCTCCTGGAAAGCAGAGCAAGCTTTAAACTCCCTGAAGTGCAAACCAGCAGCTGGACTGCTGAGTGAATAAAGAGTAACAGGAGGAGAATGAGACGAATAGATAAGAAAATTATATTAATTTGTTTATTTTCCTTTTAAGAGTGGCTCTTGTCTCTGTTTTTTTTCCCTTGGCGAGTTCCCTGTATTTATTGGGAGATAATGTCTAATGTCCCTCAAGAATTCCTGCTCCTGCCATTTTGCAGACAGGTGGGAGCTGCAGTTCTTGCACTTCTCACTGGTCATCTGCCTGGTTGCCCTCCTGTGCAACGGCCTCATCATCACAGCCATAGCCTGCAACTACCACCTCCACATCCCCATGTACTTCCTCCTCAACCTCTCCCTCCTCGACCTTGGCTCCATCTCCACCACTCTCCCCAAATCCATGCACAATTCCCCAATGGACACCAGAGCTGTTTCATACGTGGGATGTGTTGGGCAGGTCTTAAGTTTTACTATTTTCGTGTCAGCTGAGTATTCTCTCCTCACAGTCATGGCCTATGACTGCTATATTGCCATTTGCAGACCCCTGCACTACGTGACACTCCTGGGCAGCAGAGCTAGTGTCAAACTGGCAGTAGCTGCCTGGCTCACTGGTTTTCTCTATGGCTCCCTGCACACTGGGAACACATTTTTCCTACCCCTCTGCCAAGGGAACGTGGTGGAGCAGCTCTTGTGTGAGATCCCCCAGATCCTCACGCTCTCCTGCTCAGATTCCTGCCCCAGGGAAATTGGGATTATTGGTTTTAGTGCCTATTTATGCTTTAGGTGTTTCATTTTCATTGTGGTGTCCTATGTGCAGATCTTCACTGCTGTGCTGTGGATTCCATCAGAGCAGGGCTGGCACAAAGCCTTTTCCATGTGCCTCCTGCACCTGGCCATGGTCTCCCTGTTTGTCAGCACTTCATTTTTTTTTGCCTACCTGAAGCCCCCCTCCAGCTCCTCTGCTGCTCTGGATCTGGTGGTGGCTCTTCTGTATGCAGTGGTGCCTCTAACTCTGAACCTCCTCATCTACAGGATGAGGAACAAGCAGCTCAAGGGGGCACTGAGGAAACTGGTTACATGGGTCCAATGTCAGCAATAAGAAGCATCCCATCCAGTGGTTATTGCATAACCTCTCATCAGTTATAGGGTGTCTGACATAAAGGCTTTGTGCCCTTCCTTCCTTCTGTCCATCCTTCCTCCTGTCATTCCTTTTTCTCTGACACATTCTTACAAAAAATCAATCAATAAACAAATTGTGTATACTACTTCTATCTCATTTGAATCTGAGCCACAGGCCATTTTGAAACACGAAGTCAGGCTTCCCCCTTCACCGGCACAGAGGGGACAACCTCAGAGTTCGCTAGTCAGAGCTTCCCCAGATGTCATGTCCCTGAGTGAAGTGAGGAGAGTTTCCCCGTGCAGTGTCTCTTCCTGCTCTGGCACCAAGGTTGCTCAGGGGCACAGAGTTTGGCTCAGACAAGTACAGATAGGGTGAGATCATGGGTCCCATGTCCCTTAGGAGAGCTCAGCTGCCCCAGGCACAATCAGCATGTCTTCTCACAACCCTCTCCTGCAAGAATGACAGCCACGTGTCACCATGGGCTGGTCCCTTCCCTCTACAGAGCTCCAACTTGTGGCAGAGGAGGAACATTGGAGAGGAGAGGACTTGGGCAGCAGCTTGTGAGGACAGACCCGGTGCTTGACAGTGTCATCCCCACAGTGACAGTAGTCTTCCTGTGGGAGCTGCAGCTTTCCTGGAGACGCAACCCAGCAGAGTAACAGGACTTTCTCTTTTCAGAGTTGTTCTCTTCATTTCCATGGTTGCCATGCTCTATTCTGTGGATATGGTCCAGTATCTCCCATATCCTGAGGGTCACAGGGTTGTGTTTCCATGTGCATGTGTCCTGGAACAACAGGCAGGATGAGTCCTTGGGTTCCCTTACACCACAGCTGGACTCCAGAATAACTTTTCCATAATAAATAATTTCCTGCCCAGTACCAATGTTGTGCAGCTGAGGGCAGGGGGCCTTTGCCCTAATTCTCCTGCTCTCCTTCTGCCTCCAGCACCACAAATGCTGTGCCCATGTCAAACCCTTCCACCTCAAGACTGCCCTGGGGCATGAGGCAGCTCTAGCTTCTCCAGGGCTGCTCTAGAGCCATTCAGGATTGAGCTGAGGTGGGTCTGGCACTGTTCCGGATGGGCTTGGGATTTGGCAATAATCACGCCTGAACGAGGTGACCCTCGGCAGCCTACAGCCCTGTGCAGCCACTGTCACAGTCCGGGATCCACAGGGGTCTGCAAAGTTCTGGGGACCATCTTACAGCAGAGAAACCCCATCTCCCTGGAACCCTGCACGAGATGTGGCTTTCCAAGTCACTGCCAAAGGAAGGACTTCGTATTGCTTATTCAGTCTATGGCAGCTCATCAGTGATGCTGTGAGCCCAGCTCTGCATTCTGGGGGTCTTGGCCTGTTCTCTGCCCTGTTTCCTGTGCATCTGCCTAAGTCTCCCATTCCCACCTGTCCCATTTAAAGTGATGATTTCTAATATCCCCGTTAGGGCACTGTCTGGACACATTGTGACTCCTCCCGATACTCTGTTCACTCAGAGACCTAGCTGTTGGTTTGCCCTTTAGGAAGGTTAAAGCTTGCTCTGTCTCCCTGTAGTCTGTCCCATTAGCCAAGTCCTTACTGTATGTATGGGTTGTATGGAGTTAGCATACATTCAAAGAGTGTCATTATTTTCTATTAAACTATACTCTGCTTTATTTTTTGTTTCCTTGTAACTAAAACAAGATCCTCCTGTGCCTATTTGCAGCTAGTTGTCTAGCTAAAGCAGTTGGGAATTGGGGCAGGTGAGCAATAACATTCAGCGCAGGCTTGGGTGGAATACTGCTAGCTTTCAGCAAGAGTGATTTAAATTCCCGAGAAGCCAATGAGAGAAATAGCAGGGCTGGGGAGATGGGAATGAAGATTGTGCATACGGTTCCTGATCTCTGGGACATGGCTTTTCCTACGTGCCCTGACTATATTAGGAGTCACTCTGGATGGCTAGGAATTGGACAGTGTGCTGTCACCTATTGTTTAGAATAATAATAGAAAACTTTAAAAAGATGAAATACTTGTATATGATTGTTGTCATCATCTTTCAGCTACACTCCCAAAACCTCTCCAATCAGCCATGGGGACTTGAAGAAAATTTCAGGGAGAGTCCTGGTTTATCAGGGCTTTTTGCTCTTTAATGAGCTCCATGAAGTACTTGGAGCCGAGTCCATGAATTGCAGCTATTGAAAGGAGATTGAAGAAATTACTGAAGAAGTCAAAGTCAGAAGGAAACTCAAAGTCAGAAGGAAACTCTAAAGTTTTGTAGATCCCACCAAGGCCATGAACTACAACAACTCACCAGGGGCTGATTAAAGCTAAAAAATATAATCATTGGTAATAATCAGGTAGAGCTGCTCAGATGACCCTGATGCTGAATACACCCTTGATGTGTTTTATCAAGGAAAATGGCCAAGCACAGGCAGAGAAACCCTGGGAAGGGAGATCCTTTCCTTTACGTGTTGCCCGAGTCTCTTCCTGACATCATTGTGTGGGTGAGGGTGTGCAATGTTGAGTGCAGGACAAACACACAACATCTCCCAGGGTCCCCAGAAGGATAAAGGGGGCAAAGAAGGCCTGATGATTCTTGATAGGCCTCAGTGACAGACACAACAGCCATAGTCAAGAGGATAAAGACCTCCATTCTGTTGGGACCCTGGCAGCGCCCTTGGCCATCCCCACCACAGGACATCCTATACCTGCTCCTGTGTCTCTGCAGGCTGTAGACACCCAATCTGCTTCCCCACCAAGTTTTCACAACAGGTTCTCCTTCCCTTTTTTGATGGCTTTTCCATCCTCAGTGGCTATTTCTTGAAACACAAAGCTGTGGGTGGTGACAGACTCCCTTTGGGTGCACCATTGCACCACTGCACTATCCTTCAAGTGATATTTCTTCATCCTATTGCCCAATCTAAGCTTCCCAAGCTGCCTTTTGGGCCCGTTTCCTCTTTTCATGCTGCTTCCCACTATCAAGGAAAGCTCCTGGCAGCCCACAATGTGGGGACGAATATAACGTTGTCTATCAGGACAGAGTGGAACACAAGGAACTGAAGTGCCAGGGCCTGAACAACAGGCCTGAGTCAGGGTTGACTTACAGAGGAATATGGCACTGCCTTTGCAGTAGACAAAACCAACCTGTAGAATTTCTCATGCTAACCTGCACACAGGCTTATTAAACTCTAGCTTTTATAGGCTCTTGTGAAAGTTTTTTTGACCTTGAAGGGAACCCTCCCATTGAAGTCCTATCAGGATGACAGGGACAGTATGCTACACCAGATGTTACTGCTCACAAAGGAAATTCAAGTCAGCATGATTTGCTGATTTAGCTCTGTAAAAGCTGGACCCTTGTGCCGCAACTTCGGAGACCTCACTTACGGGTGGATGCAATGTGTAAGACCTCCCAATTGCCAGGAAGGTTCTCCAAATCCTCCCTGAAATAGGGGCTCCTCAGCGACTGTGGATCTGGATGATGGTAATGTATTTAGGCAATGCGTGATGTATCTTTTCTTAATCACTATTCTCTTTCTCGTATAGCAATGGTTAGGCGCATTACTTTGCTTATTTTGTCTGTTGCTAAAACCAAGCATGTAGTGAGCTTATTGTTTTGTTAGATGAATCATTTTGTATTGCCTTAATATTAATAATGAATTAAGACTTATTTCCATCGGTGTCTGGTACTTTCTGTTGCCTCTCCATTTTCAGCCTTGCAGGCCACAGCATTTCTGAAAGCAGCTGTACTTCTGGTCTGGTACTGCTTCCTGCAGGTGGTCACCCTTAAATCAAGATCAGTTGGAGGCAGCCACAAGTGTTTCCAGCTGGCTCTGAAGAGGTAATGAAGGACTCAAATTGCACCTGGAATTCTCTCAGGGAGCAGTTGCCCGCTCTAGCGCAGTGAGCAGGCAAGTGTTTCTGTAGTCTTCATTGGGTAAACTGGTGTCCTGTTCTTCATGTGATGTTTCTTACTCAGGTCACAGATTCCTCCTCCCTGGATCCTGTGGTGTAAAGAAAGAAGAAGGAAAACTCTCCAGTTCTCCATGCTTTTTGTCCTTTCTTCTGTCCAAACCTGATTTCTGGGCTCTGCATAGCAGTCAGCAGATGGCCTGGAGGTGTGGATCTTGTCACCTAGGGTCACCGCTATCCATGGGAGCTGGGCCACAGAAGAACCAGTGTCCAAGCAAGTCTGGAGGAGGAGCTGACTGGCCAGCAGGAGCCCATGTTTTCTGAGTGCTGGGCATTACCTTTACAGCATGAGAGGTGGACAGTGTAAACTCTCTGTATTATGACTCCTTCAGTTACTCTTTGTTCACTCAGTAAAGGGGAGGGGAAGGATATCCATATGGTGCCTGAGCTCTGGGATATGACAGCAGTTGGAGCATATTGCTGCTACTGAGTCTGGAAATTGAATTATATTAACCATAAAATCCTTTAAAAGCAGAAATACTTGTCTATTATTGATGTCTCCACCTTTCATGTACACTCCCTAAACCTTTCCAGTTAGCCATGCAAGATTTGAAGAAAATGACAGGAAGAAACGTGATTTGTCAGAGCTTTTTGCTTTATAATGACCCCTCTGGTATATTTTATACTGAGTCCATGAACCTCTCTTGCTGAGAAGGGAATGAACAAAACATTCAAGAATTCAAATGCAGTTATTGACTCCTCCACGGTGGCCTGTTGCAACTAGCCTTCAAGTGACATTTCTTCATCATAATGCCCAGTCTGAACTTCCCAAGCTGTTTTTCTGTTTTTTTTGTTTGTTTGTTTGTTTGTTTCCAGGCAGTTTCCTCTTTTCATACTGCTTCTCACTATCAAGGAAATCTCTTGGGAGTCCCACAGTGTTGAGAACGATATAACCTTGTCTATCAGGACAGACAGTGTTAGAAACTGAGAACTGGCCTGAGGAGAAGAACCTGGGTGTTAGGAGGGAGATGCCATATAAGCCAGTGGTGCACGTTCATGTGAATAAGGCCAGATGCCTATGGAGCTGCATTATTAGTAGCATGGCTACCCAGAGGAGGGGAGCTGTTATCCCCCTCCAAGTAGGACTTTGGCTGAAGACAGTGGTTGGAATCAATTTTGGGGGAGCAAGTGTGAAAACCAAGGGTGTCCTGGGGTGTTTGTCCACTAACCACTTCCAAAGGGCCTGATTTTCCTGTTGGTTCCCTCTTGAATATGCTAGAAACTTTGGTGCACAACATGCAATTGTGCAGGATGCTCCAGGCATCTGACATGGCTCTTCAGCTCTCTCTTTATGGCATTGGATGAAGAGTCTGAGAGGATGGCATTATGATTTTGATCATAGGGGCATAGTTGTGTCCCAGCTTCATAGTGGGTGCTGCTCTAGCAGTAATGGTCATATGGGGTCATTTGTGATGACTACGGAAATTCCCCACTTGGCCCCCAACTCATTTAGAAAGATATGGGTCTCCCAGCTGCTCCAACAGAGCCAGCAGACACTAGCACATGCCTTGCAGCACCTCTGTCTCATCCAATGTCGTCACGTGTTTCTGTGTGCACCTCATTCTCACCCTCCATCTCCAGGCATTACCTGAAACACCCACTGACTCCCTCCCTTCATCTCCACTGGTAGAAACCCAGTTCCAACATCCCAAAACTTGGGCAAAGGGATTCCCACCTCCTGTCAGTTTGTGGAATTCTTGGGAACCAGTGAAATTCCGCTCCATTCTTGGGGCTACTCAGTGGTCACTAGATGTCTTAAGTCCTCTAATCATTCCCTGAAGCACAAGTAAATAAATTCCCTTCTTCTCACTGTGCAGGGATCCTGTCCTGTTATGCGATGGGAGCAGGGGCTTCCAGAGCAGAACATATCCTCCTCTCTTAGACAACCATCCTCTGATGACATCAACTGCAACGCTATACTCAGTCTCTAAGGCTCACAGAGGGACCATCCATGATTGTTTTAGGCTATCTCAGAGGACATTTGGGGTGACCTGGGGTGACCTGCTGCCTTTCAGGAACATGGGCTCTGCAGCCCCAGGACTGCCTGGAGGGTGAAGAGGGGACAGAAGATGTTCCATGTTCAGCTGGGTCTCTGCTCCTTAGCTGGGCCTGGCTCCTGGGACTGCAGGAGCCCATGGCAACCTGGCAGGCGCTGCAGAGAGACAGCTCTGCCCAGCAGCAGCTCCTCCTAAAGGAGCACCAAGACTCAGGGCACTGCCCACGGGCACCAGGCTGGGATGAGTCACTCATAAGTGAAAGGCAGTCAGGAATGGGGTGGGAGGATGGCTGAGAGCTCACGGTGGTGATAAATCTTCCCGGCCCTTTCTATACACAGTAAGTTTCTGACTGCAGGGCAATACTGCTGTGGTTCCTGGAGGGATCTTCTGAGCCAGGCACCTTCAGGCTTATAGGATGTGTCAGGGTGTCTCTCCCAGCTTCTCCTGTGTGGAGCAGGTGAGGCTTCAGAGCAGGGATTCCCAGCCACACATTTAGAGGGACAGGGCATGACAACTCCCCTCTCCTAGGGAAGGTGCCACAGTGTGAAGCTGGAGAGGGCACTCAGGTGTGCATGGGCAGCAATTCAGAGCAGTGTCCCTGGGCCCCACGGTGCTGTGTGGCCAGGGCAGAGATTCTGCCCCCTGCGAGAGTTGGCACTCAGCCTGCCTGGGAAAATGCCCATGGTGCTGCAGGGAGAAGCTCTGGGTGGCAGGAGAGATGCCCATCAGGGAGAGGTTGTTCCCCCACCATGGGGGGAACCCATGGTGTTCCATTGGTTAAGGCTGCTCTCAGCTTGAGCTGATCCCCAGGATATCTGCTAGGGGTCTCTTCAAGAGGATAGTGATGAGAGATTAACTTCAGGACTTTTCTTGAGTCTCTGCTTTCAGTTTCCTAGCTATTTATTTATTTATTTATTGGGAAGGAGCGTATTTGGTTTTCTCTGTGCCATCCTGAACAATGTGAATACATTTGCAATAGCAAATCCATATGAAACCCTCCAGCTGCTCAAGCTCTCCTGCTCAGACTCCCACCTTAGGGAAATTGGGATCCCGGTGGTTACTCTTTCTGTAGATTTTGTGTGATTTGTTTTCATTCTCCTGTCCTATGTGCAGATCTTCACAGTCATGCTGACAATCCCCTCTGAGCAGGGCCAGCACAAATCCTTTCCTATGTGTGTCCCACACCTGGCCATGTCTCCCTCTTTGTCAGCACAGCAGTGTTTGCCCACCTGAAGCTCCCCTTCATCTCCTCCCCAGCTCTGCATTTGGTGCTGGGCATTCTGTATGCAGCAATGCCTCCAGTGAACCCTGTCACCTACAGCATGAGGAACAAGGAGATCAAGGAGGCTCTGAAGAAACTGATCCAATGGGTACTAGTTCAGCAGCAATAAGTTGCCTATCCCTCTTCATAAGTGGCTTCTATTTTGTCTCAGACTGCTCTTGTGCTTTGAGCATTCTCTCTGTGATAAGGATGTTTGTGCAGAAGTGTTGGAATTCATCCCACTTCTCCAGCAGTTTGAATCCAGTCTCTCTGATTCAGAGGCCTGCAGCCTATCACTGTGTTAGAGCTGTCCTCCCTCTAATAAAAGGGGATATTGTTAGTGCAGTTCTTGCAAGTCGATCTCTTCTTCCAAAGCTGGAGGCAAGGATGTGCTCAAAAATTTCCACCCTTGAAATGGCCTCTTGCTTTCCACGGCTCTCCATGCGCTGAAGGTGATGAGCTCATGGGGTGATGTGTTGCGGAATGAGGGCTGGATTCAGCTCTCCCTTTTGGGCACCCAGTGCTCCTGATAGTGGTGAATGGTCAAGCAGTATTTACCTGGGACTGTTTCATGTATGAAATGATTGGTGACAGATGGGAAGGGAGCCTGGAGAGTGGTTTCTATCACCTTCAATGGAGAACCAAGGTCTGGATCTAGCACACACCTGGACACAGTCTGAGCCATTTGAAATGGCCTGTGATTGCTCAGAGCACCGTTCATGGCTACAGACTCCTTGGTAGGAGGTTGTCAGATTCAGTGATACCCGTCCAGCTGGGTCTGCTTCCCACCCAAGTCACCATGGTGAATGTGGAGTTACCTTGCAGCCCTGGGCACCACAGCCCTCTCGCGCTGCAGAGCAGCCCCTCCAGCTTGGGACCCTGCAGGGAGCACAGGGAAAGCTCCAGGAATGGCCAGGCAGGCCAGCACTGGTGCAGCAACCCAGGAAAGGCTCTCTGGGGAGCAGGGATGTCCCTGGAGAAGAGGAAAGGAGTAAATGTGCAACTGCAAGCTGATTTCTTGAATGTTGATTGCAAGGACACTTTTGCCTCAGTATCTGATACACCAGCAGCAGGCACCTGACTTGGATCATGTTTATGAGGTCA